CTATGGGTTGGGCCTGGTCAACTCTTCAATATGAGGCCAACTAATGTTTGATTAAAGAGCAAATTACCCAATTTCCTATTTTTGGAGATCTAACTTCAAAAATCAGATATTTTATATATAGATACAGATTTTTTTATATTTAATTAAATATTAATAATAATATTATAAAAATTAATATATGTATATACCCCACCCCCACCCGTAAATTAATTTTCAAACCCTAAATCACGTCTCTCACTCTTTCTCCGTCTCACTCCTCTCCTCTCCCTCACCCGTCGTCTTTGCCCACTGTCGGAGACCACTCTCCCTCTCCATCGCCTTCGCTCACTACCAGCAGGTGATGGAGGTGGCCAAGACGAGCTTCGATGCACCTATCCTAGCCGCGACGAGCTTTGATGCCACAACTGTTGCGAAGTCGTCACATTGTCGATCTGAGCGCCAACAGGCTGTGGAGGTGGCTGATTTGTATTATTTGTGTGTACTGATTTGAGTAATTTGTGTGGTGGTGTTGCAGATCGATGTTGTATAATTTAGCTACCAATTGCAATTAACGGAACTGCCCTAGTCGCGACTTTGGGAATCAAATTTCGAGGTAATTGAGCAGCAATTGGATCAATTAAATGTGTACCCACTGTTGGCGAATAGTGGCGATCTACAATGATTTGGCTGTGAATGATTTGTGTGGTTGTTGGAGATGGTGGTGGGTCTAATGGCGATGGTGAATCTAGTGGTGGAGGTGAGTTTTGTGGTGGCGAGCGATTTGGCGATGGCAGGGGCACGATTTTGTGGTGTGACGGTTGCTGGAGGTCATGGTGTGGTGGTGATGGTGGCAATCGTGGCAGTGGCGGTGGTGAGGTGGTGATCACAAGTAGAAGTCGATGGTGGTTAAAAAAAATCATACAACAGATTAACCGTGACCTTAAAAATTGACAATTTGTGATTAAAAATTAATCTGTGACCAATGAATTTGAAAATTTGTGACTCATAGATATTTGTGATCTGTAATTTTTTTAATATGTGACCAATAAAATAATTTGTGACCTATAATTTTATTGATTTGTGATCTCGAAATAAGCCGTGATCAACAAATTTTTTGACATGTGATCGATAAAACAAAAAATGACCAAACTGTGACCTGTAATTTTTTGATCTGTGACCAATAAAATTATCTGTGATCAGAATAGTCGTTGGAATCGGATCAGTTGCCGGAACGGTCATCGGAATAGGAGAAATCATCGTAACGGTCACCAGAATAGTTGTCGGAATCTGAGTAGTCGTCGGAACGGTCGCCGGAGTGATAGGAGTGGTGGAGGTGTGGTGGGTTAACTATATTATACCTATTACTAATTTACTATAATATATTATAATTCATAATTACGAGCCTCTTTGAGCCCCATTTTTTGTGTAGAATATATTTTGGAATAGTAGATTGATTGACAATGTATGGTTAAAGATGAAAGAAATTTTTTTGGGTTGTGTGTAATATTATTTGTTTTGAAAAAGTGTGATTAAAAAGAAGAGAAAAATGTATTTTAAAAAAAATGGGGATTGAACAAAGGTTATATATTTAATGAATAATTTTATCTAACATTAACGATGATAGAATATTAGTCTTAAGTAATTACATTTGATAAGTTCAATTAAATGAATCATATTTCATTCCGATTCTTCATGCAAGTTCAAAATCTTCATTTTTGGATTAAACATGTAGAATTTTGCATAATTTGGATACTAAAATGTTGCCTGATTTGATTTGTCTTCTTTGAATATTAAACGCTTCCTATAATTTTAGATGTTGGAAGAAAACTGGTCCTTTTTTGAAGACGGAGTTAAATTTTTAGTTTAAAATTCAACCTCCCACTATCCTCAACCAAAAATAACTTCTATTATACAACAAACAAAAAAGATATGTGCAAAAAATTCAGGTTTCTTCAAAGGTGAAAAAGTAGATGAGAGTGGAGGTTTGAATTTTGGAAATATAACATCTCAAATTAGGTTTTTGGCTTGTGAACATCAAATTTCTTTCTTGGTGAATGAGGGATTTTCAAGTAAGTTTTATAATTTAGAATTTGGTTAAAAGTATGCAAACACGTTTTACATTTGTATCATAGCCTAAGTAGGCTGTTTTTTTGCTTAAAGACATGTTGGAAATGAGTTGAAATGATCAAAACGCATGTATATTGTTTTCTTCAAAAACTTGAAAATCATTAATGGCAATTTTTGATATATTGCATATAAATTCATGAAATTTATGCCACATGTTCATGATATTATGGAGAATATATATGGAAA